CCATAAAATGAGGCAAAATTCACTTAACAAATGTCTCATTTAGCAAAAATGAGCTGTAAGTTGTGGCTGTAAGTTGAGGACTTTCTGTAAAGTGGTCCTTATACTTCATGTGATCTTGTTTCTATCCCTCTGTCTAGGGCTGCACTGACTTTTCTTGGAAGCTGCAGCACACTGATGGCTCTTGAATTCACTCTTGAAACTTATGAGACTAAGAGCTGTCATTCGTGTTACAATATAGTCAGAGCAAATGCCAACCAAACTGGTTAAACATTTGCAAAAGGTGTAACAAAGCTATGTGAACCCAATCCAAGTAGATCAAATTAGAAAACCAAAGCTAGCAAGTCAAATTGTACAGCCACACACCCCCTTTTCTCCATAAGAATTAGGGAAGGTTGTCTGTGATGTTTTCTCAGGTTACAGTTCTGCCCTGGACTCAGGTTTCTTTTTTCTGACCATTGTCTTGGTAGTAGCTCTTCCTCCTGTCCCTCACAATCATACTTCCTTCTTGTTACATTGGCTTATTTGCTAATGGGGTATCTTGCCACTCTTGTATTCAGAAACTGTGAGACAACTCTGGGTGCACATGTTAGTTATGGGGAGGCCATGTGGTTGTATTTGATGGGCAAATGTAGATTTAGGGAAAGATGATGGCAACCTTTTTGGCACTAAGTGTCCAAACCAGAATGTTTGGGCACTTAGTGCCAAACACTCCGGTGCATGCCAGAACCCCGAAGATCAGCTGCCTGGCACGTGCATGCCTGTTTTTTGGCTATTTTGGGGGCGTTTTCAGGCCATTTTTAGGTGATTTTCGGGCAATTTTTGGCCTGAAAACAGCCCGAAAACAGACTCTGGTTTTTGGCTATTTTTCAAGTCATTTTTCAGGCAGTTTTCCGGGTGCTCCGGCACCCGCAAAGACCAACTCTGGAAACCAGAAGAGCAGCTGCTCTGCATGCCACCTCTGGTATATGTGCCATAGGTTCACCATCATGGGTATAGACTGCCTGACCATTGTTTTTAATGGAAACAATGGCACCTACAGTATGTCTTTTGAGCCCAACTTTGTAAAGAGAAATCATGTTGTAAGTAGGCTTAAACAGGAGAAGAAAAATACTTAAAACATGATTTGAAAATAGTGGGGATAGTAATCTGAGATAGCACTCTGAGCCCCATTTACTGTCTTGCTTCAGGTTTCAGTCACACAAACAGACATGGTCTCCTAGGAGATTATCAGTTTCACTTCAAGAGTTAGTAATGAAGCAAAGGAATGTAAACAAGAGAGGCAGGGTTAGCTTTGAGCTAAGAAGAAGCAGAAGGAGCATCCAAAGCCAGTTCAGGGTTCCCAGATCAGACTTGCCAGCCAGTCCAGAGGTTCAATGTTTCTTCACAAACAGGAACATCATCCCAAAAGCATATTGTTTCCAGTAAAGAGAGCACAGTCAGAGGTGCTTTCAAATAAGGCTATCATTAATCAGGATATTTACTCCCTTGTTTGATGAGAAGCCTAATGCTTTCATGAGCCGCAGTGATGCAGTGGTTAGAATGCAGTACTGCAGGCTACTTCTGCTGACTGCCGGCTGCCTGCAATTTGGCAGTTCAAATCTCACCAGGCTCAAGGCTGACTCAGCCTTCCATCTTTCTGAGGTGGGTAAAATGAGGAGCCAAATTGTTGGGGGCAATATGCTGACTCTGTAAACTGCTTAGAGAGGGCTGTAAAGCAATATGAAGCAGTATATAAGTCTAAGTGCTATTGCTATTGCTGTTCTAGTATCTTGTCTACTTGTTGGAATTATTGGAATTCCTTGGGAATTTAGTTAAAAGGCCTTACATGGGCCTTTTACATTCTGCGGGCCAAGCAAAGAAACATACATTTTTTTAAAAAACATGTTTATGCAGTTGTGGCTGCTCAATTGATTTTCTTGACCCACCTCTGCAGAAACCCCTGTTGTTGGAGAGTGGAAGTTCAATTGAGAGAAGTTGGATAAAAGAACCAATTTTTACTAACAACACATGAAGAAAATTATTGTATGAGATTATTTTCTTGCGCAATGTTCAGCAACACTTTTAATGTTTTCTAATAAATAGCACCACATTCTTCTGTGACATTTTTAAGGTTAAAATAGTTGAGGTATGAATGGCTTCAAAAGAAATTACTTGCTTTGAAAAAAAGAATGATTTTTTCCTGTAACAAATTAGTGAGGTATTTTATTTTGATTTTCTTTAGCAAGTCATTGGCAGCTTTATTAAAAAATTTTTTTTTGCCCTGAGGCATTTTGTAGGAAAATAAATGAACATAAAAACTATTCAGAATATCCAATAAAGAAGTAGCGAAAAATCAGCCTATTAGGTGGAAAGGAGAAGTTGAAGATATAAAAGTATATCACAAACGAGGGAAAATATTTACTTAAAATGCCAAATACCAAATATAGATGTAGAAAGATGGGACAATCACCTGCCAACTTTAGAAATTGTGCAGCACGCACAGGGTGATAAGAAAAGGAACAACAAGTTCTTTGTTGAAAAAGGAGGGATTGTGAATTATGGGAGCTAAGTTAGGATCATCAGGAAAATAACAATTGACTGTAGGGCAAACTAAGTTAGCATAAAATTTGTTTAAGGTATTGAGAGAATATTGTATGGAAATTATAAATAGGGACATTTAATTGCTTTTCAGCAATACTTACTCGCTTTATTTATTTTCAACATTTCTACTGAAAAGTCACATTTCAAACATTTTTCAAAAACTGATCTTGCAGGAGCTGGCTAGATCAAAGGTTGCAGGGGAGAAGATATATTCCAGAAGGTCAGGGCATCAATAGAAAAACCTTGTTCAACATGGTCTTCCATTTGATGGGATTAAGATTATCTAACAGATGATGTAAATAGAAACTATTGCAATTCCTTGGGAATTTAGTTCAAAGCAACAGGTGACAAGGATCCCTACAAAACTGACCACAAAGAAGAACATGAGCTGTGGTGGGTTTTTTTTTTTTAAGCGTATGGCATGTGTTAGCCAGGGATCACCGAAGCGGCTTCCTCTGTAAAAAGAATATTTTCGGGCAGTGTTATCTTACCTGTGGGACGCTTGAATGCCAGTAGGCAATAGGGGGAAGCACTTTCCTGTCCCTATGTGGTTTATTCACTCTAGGGAATCGAGCCGCCAACCTCAGCGGAGCACAGGCTCAGCATCTTACTGTGTGAGCCACCGCGGCCCCCTATGGGATACTTCTGAGATGCTTTTTCATATTCCCACTTCTCCGGTAGGCCAAGATATCCCTTATCTGATTATTGCCTTGGTTGCAGCTCTTTCTTNGACAAGAAGCAATGGGTGGAAACTAATCAAGGAGAGAAGCAACTTAGAACTAAGGAGAAATTTCCTGACAGTTAGAACAATTGATCAGTGGAACAGCTTGCCTCCAGAAGTTGTTAATGCTCCAATACTGGATGTTTTTAAGAAGAAAAAAGGTTTCCTGCCTAAGCAGGGGGTTGGACTAGAAGACCTTCAAGATCCCTTCCAGCTCTGTTGTTCTGTAGGTGCCTTAAACCTCTGCTACATTTAACATCCCAATTTTGTTTTCAAAACTCTCCCCTCCCCTAAAAGCCCTAAAAAGAAGGTGGAAAATTTCAGCCCAACCCTTCTACTTGATGCCTTCATTGGATTATCATCAGATAGAAGTTTATCCCTTGGAGACATAAAATTATTAGCTACATAGGTGAGAGGAGTGATCATGTTTTGGACAAGACCCAGTTTGAGTGAATGCAGCCAATAAAATGCTCCCTCTTTCACGTCTCCTTGGGATTCTTTTTTCAACTTCTCTTCTTTAACAGTGAATAAAAATGATCAGGTTTATGGCCAAGTAGCTGTGTGGTTCCAGTCTGCACTTGTATGCAGTTCAGCAAGACCACACATACAAGGTCAGCTCAAATTTCAAAAGCGAGTAAGGGTTACAAACATGAAAAAAAAATGTTTTAAAAAGCTGAAGGATATTTAATTTCTTTTAAAAAAAGCTGACGGGTATTTAAAGTATAATTAGTTGGGACAAATTCTTAATAATCAGAGCAGGTTTGCAGTAGGGCCAACTATTTAAAGTGTTGGTGAGCTCTCCTTCGTTGGGTGTGTTCCAACAGAAGCTGAAATCTGCCTGACGGGTGTACTTAAATATGGAATTTCTTTACTGCACAGGGAGTAGAACCCCTAAGGGGGAGGAAGCAGATGTCGGTTGCTCCCAGTTTGGCCCAGATTGGGTGAACTGGTAGTAGCGGTGGTGGGAGGCTCCGCCCACCCACCCGGACGCTTATGCACATGCACAGACGCTTCTGCGCATGCACAAAAGCATCGCACGCACCCAAACTGGTAGTAAAAAAATTCCTGACCCACCACTGGGAAGAAGCTTTCAACTTCTTTTCTTTTCGATTTTTATCCCAGGCAGTGGTGGGTTACTAACTGGTTTACTACTGGTTCTCTGAGAGAGGGCATTTTGTGTGCGCACAAAAATTTTGCTTCGCTCACGCCGCACATTGCATGTGCAATTTACTGAAAACTGTTCTGCACATGCGCTGAAACATGCCAGCGACGGGAGAAGAGACCAGGGAACCGATTCGGGGGTGTGGCAGGCCTGGGTTGCTGCCAGTTCCAGAGACCCAGGCCGGAAAACCACTACCAGTTCTACCGAAATGGTCTGAACTGGGAGCAACCCAGGTGTATTACTGTAGAAGTCACTCAAGACAGAGAATGTACCTCATATTCTCCCCCCCCCTCCTATTTTCTCCACAATAACAACCCTGTAAGGTGGGTCACACAGCAGTTGGTGCTCATGTCTACTTTTACGATAATAAATACTTTTAGGCTAAATTACTAGAAACTCGTAAACATCCATCCACACATTCTGAAAGCTTGGCTCTTTTCTCTCATTTAAAAACATACACAATGAACTTACAAATCAAATGGGGGAAGCATATGAAGTTCCCAGAGAGGGGGAAAATTGCATTTGAGTCTCACTTACCGTTTGAGTGTTTTCTTGGAAACTTTGGTTGAAGAAACATCATTTGAATGATCCAGAGAATAGGAGGTAGTCTTAGTGCTAGAGGCGCAGCCACACATCCTTTCCAGTGGCTTGGCTACTACTGTTTATGATCTCTAGGCAACTGAAGGACTGGTGAACTGGCAAACAGAAACCTTTGTGCTGGGAAGGCAGCACAGTCACGGAAATGTTCCCTGCTCATTGGGTTTCTGTAATTAAATCAGTCAGTAAATAAATCTGTGTGACACCCAAGACTTAAGATGTTTATACGTCATGCACAAAGTGCCTTTTAAAAGACACTTTTTGATGGTGCAGGCATATTTCTGAATATTCATTCAGGATTTGAAATACAGGAGGAAATGGAATCCACTGCATGACACACAATATAACTAATGCATCTGCATTGCATTTCCTATCTGAAAATTCATTATATCCTAAACACGCTTGCCCGGGGAAGAAGTCCATTAACTTTAAGAACTTTTGTTTGTTTGTGCTTCAAGTTAGTTTTGACTTCGGGCACATAGCTACAAGACTATGTAGTTTTCTTAGCAACATTTTCAGAAGTGGTTTCCCTTTGCCAAGAGATTGGACTGCCATTTGTCAGAAATGGTGTAAGGTCTCCTTCTTAGTGGCGGGTTGGATTAGATGACCTACCAGGTCGTTAATCTGTAACCTGCCTTCTTTCTGAGAGAGAGTGATTGGCCCAATGTTACCCAGATTTCCACTCTGGTACCTTAACATACATATACATACATACGTACATACGTACGTACGTACGTACATACATACATACATACACAGGTCTTGGCGTATTCGGGTCTTTTCCCGTGTAAGATTGACAGTATCTTGGTGACGTTTCGACAAGGTCACACTTGTCATCTTCAGGCTGGTGCCTTTGGCTTCAGTCTTTTCCTGTGTAAGATTGAGAGTAACTTGGCGAGCAAAGCGTGACCGGAGCTGCTGTTTTTCTATAAATATAGGTGGGGTGTGTGTGGAACGT